TCCGTTTTGTTAAAAATTTTTCTTTTATAGTAATTTTAAGCAAGAAAAAATGTTTTACACTCTTTATCACAAGTGAGTCTCAACTTAGAAACTCAAGAATCTTCAAGACAACTGGTGCAGTGGGGTGGGATTTTTGGTTAAAGTCTATTTAAGTTTAGAAGTCTTGCTTATCCTTTGGTTGCAAGAAAAAAAACCTGTGATAATTCTCTATTCTTTTGTTCTCTTATATTCCTCTTTATTTTTATTTTATTATAAAAACCATTCATATTATTATTACCATACTTACTAAAACAAATACTTTCCAAAATATATACTCAAATAAAATTAATAAGTTTATTATTTGTTTCAAGTCAACTCATAAATTTTATTTTACCATGGTAATATTTACTGCACTATTACAAATTTCTCTATATTTTTTTTTGGTTAAAAAACCAAAATCAGCTTATCTCCTATAGATGATCAGTACTTTTCAATTATTTAATTAGATTTTGCTTAAAAATCAAAACAAAAATTAAACTTGTTCAATCAGTTTTGTATTACAATAGCAATCACAACAATAATTACAACAATAACATCAATTACATGTTCACTAACAATTATAATAACAAATAACTTTATGTATATTTTATTATCTATAGTAATTAAAAAGCTGAAGAGATGAGACCATAAGCCTGTTCAGAAAATTTCTTGAAGAAATAATTGATTTTCTACTTATAGATTTATAGTTTATTTGATATAATTTTAGTTACAGTTATGTTTATTATCTTTTCAACTATTATATATCCAAAAAATCAAAAGATTCTACAAAATTTCTTGAGTTGATAGGTATAGTTACTACTTAGTTTTATTTAGTATTATAATATTGTTTTTGAAATATTTTATAATATTAGTTAGATAATGACTAAGTAGGCAAGCTAATATTAAAATTTTCTAAAATAATAAAAAGATATTGTTTCTTTTATAATGTATACTTTATTATATACAATATCAAATAAAGAAATAATGTTTATCTATAGAAGAAACCTTTCAAAAAAATTTTTTTTAATATAAAAAATTTTTAAAAATTGAAATCTTTAAAACTTATTTAAAAAATTTTATATTTAAAAATAAATTTTAAATATTATTTCTTAAATTATAGAATATTTTTTTTATAACATTTAAAATTTTTTAATTAAAAAGTTGCTTTTCATTTATTTTTTTAAATAATCAAAATATTTTTCTAAAAATTTACATAATATTAGTTTTATTTATATATTATCTATTGATAGTATTTATTTTTTATTTGTTTAATAAAAATTTAGAGTTAAATTATAAGCAAAATTTTTAATTTTAAAAAAAATTTTTTTACTAAAAGTTGATCTTAGACAAACTTAAAAATTTTTAAATTAAAATTCATATAATTATAATTAGTTTTATAGAATTATTTACAAAAATAATTTTAATTATTACAATTTTAATAGTTTAATTTAAAAATTTTAACTTGTATTAAAAATAAAGTAATTTTTTTACTTTAAATATATATTAAATTTTATATAAATTTTATATTAAAATTTTAAACACAAAGTTTAAAGTTATTTATTTTGAAAATTTCTAATAAAGTTAATAAAAAATATCATAAACTATATTTTTTATAATATAAATAAGTTATAAAAATTAATATTTAAAATTTTATTAAAATTTTAATTATGCAAACAAATTTGTTTGCATTACAATTTAAGAAATAAATATAAATATTCTAAATTTTTAAAACATTTTAAAACATTTTTATTTTAAGTAACTTATAATGAAATTTAATTTTACATATTTTTTTATTAAGTATTCAAAAAGAATAAATTAAATTAATTTTTTTTAAATTCAAACTGATCAAAATATTTTTATTTTAAAAGTAAAGATTTCTGAAAATATTTTTTAAAAAAATTTAGATATTTTTCTGTTTCATAAAATTGATTTCAATTATAGTTTATATGAACTTTATTCTAATATATTTTATTATTGAATAAGTAATAACACACTAGCCCATATTAAGTCTATTGAAATAATATAGGAAATATATATCATTTTATTATAAGTCTATACTTCATCAAATTATTAGCAAATAAAGAATAATGGATATGTACTACTTAATTTATTATCAAATACTAAATCAAAATCAAAATTTCTTTTATAAATATTTTTTAAATTTTTAAATATAACAATAAAACATTTAATTGTAATACTTAATCAATTATTATTGAAAATTTTTTTATTAGTTCTTTTATTATGTAAAAATCAAGTGCACCATTATCTACTATACACGTCTCATCAACAGATAAACCTGTTGACCAACATGTAAATTTTGTACATGGCGAAAATCCCCTTCTAGTGCCATTAATAATCCACCATAAGATATGTATACGGCACTGATTGTTTAAATCATGGATTGAATTGAGGATAATAACAAATTTTAAAATATAATTTGGAATTTCGTTCAGATCGTTAAAACGAAAAAGATACACCTTGCTTCTTCTTTCTTCGTCGTATTTGTAGACCTTTCCGTACATAACATATTCATAATCGTCTGACAGATCCCTTTCCATAGGGCCTTTTTCCCTCCAAGAAATCTTTTGATTCATTTCCTCGGCTAGAGTTCCTCCAATAACATCTTCGGCCTGTTGAATTACTGAAGGTTCTAAAGCTAATGAAGTGGTAAGAATAACATTAACCCTGTCACCTATGTCTAGGGGATAAAGCTCAATGTTTATGTCTATTGTGAGTTCCATTTCCAAACTTTCGCCACGTCCAGTGAAGCGTGAAACTATTCAATCAAATATCTGATGAGTGAAGAAATACGATGTCTCAATAGTTATGAAAGGTGAAACTCACCACGATCGAACTTTTTCCCTTCTTTGTCCATATCATTGATGTTAAACGTGTCACTGAACAAAAGAACGTTTTTTTTTGCCATTTGTTCAAAAGAATGAAGTATCGTATTTCGCGAGCAAATGGATTTGCAATGTGGCTTGGTTAAATTACGTCGCAATATAAGTAAACACCTGATGCACTTAATAAAAAATTTTACTGTGCCCTAAACAAAAAGTTTCAAATATATACGTTTTTATATTCCAAAACTTAGAATAGCACTAATGTCTCTAGAAGAAACGATTTCACCAGAGCTGCAACAATACATTGATCAAGTGGTTTCAAAATTATCCGGCAACAGTTGGTCTTTTTTACAAGGATTCTTTCTTGGACAGCTTACGATCGTGTTTTTGGTTCTTGCCTTCGTTAAATTCATGCTATTAGAAGAAGTTCAGAAAAAACAAAAAGTTCGTATTCCGATATTGCCTGCGTTAATCCTTTTACTGTCCATATCCGGACGTTATAAGTTATGCTGAATATAAAAATAAATTAGTAATGTTTTATAGCGTCCACTTCCTCTTCCTACACAATCGCCACTGAAATCGCAAGCAGCTAATTCATCGCCAGCTTCAGTTATTCTATCAAAAACTTTATATGATCCGAAATATCACCCTCCTGAATCTACGGATTGGCTTAATGTGCTTTTAGCACAAGCCATAAATCAGTATAGAGAAGATGCCAAAGCTGATAATCGATTGGTTCGATTCGTAGATCGAATACTAAACGAAGGCGTTAAACCCAATTTTGTAGTAAGTAATCTGCATTGATAAATATTTTCCATTGTCTAAAGACGACAATCTATACACAAACATATTTTTCTGTTATCAGTTCACCTTTGCAAATTTATTATAACTAAGGGAACGATTGAAGTTACCAAACTTGACATAGGAGAAGAATATCCTATTTTCAACAATGCCAGAATACGGTCGACAGAAACGATAGACCGAATGGTAGGTTTTTAACATTTGACATTAAGTGAATAAGGGGCAATTGTTAACTTCAAATGATAATTCAGAGAGTAGAAGTCGATTGCGAGTTTAACGATCAAATCTCGCTTGGTATTGACACCCAGATCATTATCAATTGGCCAAAACCACGTATAGCCGTTTTACCAATTTCATTAGTATTATCTGTAGTTAAATTCTCTGCCACGGTACGTTCTCTGTTTGTATTTCTACCACGTCAGAACATTTGAGTTTTGCTAATGAATCATATCGTTTTATTCCAGATGGCTTTGGAAATTGAGACGAGTTCTGATTCAACATTCATTGCTGTCTCAGCACTTCCGGATTTCATTTTGGAGTTTGGTGTACAATCCTTGATCGGATCAAGATCGAAACTTGAAGGAGTACCTAAAATTACACACATGGTCACTTCTAAGTTGAGAAACATGTTTTGTGAAAATTTTGTATATCCGAACTCTAAAAAAATCAAGATACCAAGTTTATGGGAAACCGAAACCTATAAGAATAATATTGCCATTTCTGAGGATGCTTCGAAATCAGAAAACGGCTTAGATGGAATAAATAATCATATATCTCATGATGATAATGAGAATAACCCAGAAGGTCAGGATGCATATGAACAAGAGCATTTGATAGTGAAAGAGAAATCTACATCTTCAGCATTGAATGGATTAAGGAAACGAAATAGTGTTATTAGTGATTACCCACTTGTTCAGGATGACATCTTTTTTGGTCATGGTATAAAGTCCTAAATATGTTAAAATTTAAATAAATTCCGTGACTTTTATTGTAATAAATCAATTGCGATTGCTCAATGGTAAAAAATGCGCCTATTCATTTGTTAGCAAGCCTATTATACTGAGACTTTCAAATATTTATTCATTAATCTGTTCATTAAGAATATTATATATATATATTTTTTTGTCGATCACAATTTATTGAACGATGCAACATCAATACTTTGAACATAATCTTCAAACGCAGTGATCTTCTCTTCTAAATCATCTGTATAAACAATGAAAAATGTTAATTTAGAAAAATGTCAAAGTGTATATGAATAGCTAGTAATGGATAAGTTTAACTTACCGACTCCAACTTTGTCATCCTCGACCACACATGCAATCTGCAACTTTTTGATACCATAACCAACTGGAACAAGTTTGGAAGAACCCCAGACAAGTCCATCCATTTCGATACTTCTCACACATTTTTCCATTTCAGCCAAATCTGTAGTATCATCCCAAGGTTTGACATCTAATGTGACCATACTTTTAGCGATAACCTTCGGCTTAGCCGCCTTTTTCTGTTGATATGCAGCCAAGCGTTCAGCTTTTTGTCGTTCAGCTTCTTCATCCACTTCTTCTTCATCAGAACCGAACAAATCAACATCATCATCCTCTTCTGCGGCAGCAGGAACGTCAGGACCATAATCAGATGCAGTGCGACCCGCATCGCCAGGGAGAGCGGAAAACCCATCAGAGTAAGAGGCGATGTGATGATACCATCGGGCTGCATATGGAAATTTTTCACTTACGGGAACCTTGTGATTTAAAGCTTTGAATACGGATACATCAGCTTGACTTGGTTCATAACTATTAATATGTGAATAAATAAATCACGCCAAATTAGATGACTTCTTTTTATATATCATTCTATTAAATTTTCACTATATATCAGAAGAATTGTGTTTTTTTTCATCCACGAGCAAATCTCAGAAACACGGACCAATAACAAGTTATTCATCATAAACATAATATTATAGTAATCACAAAGAATATGGACAATACCCTTCTATGTATGACTTGTCTTCCAAATAGGAGTTGAGGACTGTAAGACCTGAATCTTTTTCTAATTGAGTAAAACCCTGAATGCAAGGTAGATAATTTGATAAAAGATTTGAACTCGATAAATTGACTACAAATTAATAGCGACGATACTTTGTCTTAAGAAACAGGTCTCAAGAATAGACAACCCACCATTTTGTATGTATCGAAAAGCTTGATGAAAATACAAAGTTACGTGAGTCTAAGCAGACCTCGATAAATTATCCTCATGGCTGAGACAGGGCTTTTGGGTTCCAATGAAATCAACCAGTGTTGTACGAAATAGGAATTTTTTTTTTTCATTTGCTGATAAAAAAATTTTTTAAGAATCAATTTCAAAATTAAAATATAAATAGTTTTGTTTATTTTATTTTATTTTTTACTTCTAATTAATTGATAAATTATCAAAAATATTATTATTTTGTTTAAAAATTTATTATTGATTAATTAATATTTAAATTTTTATCTTAATATAAATTTACAATTTTAAAAAATAAAAAAATTTTGTTTTTGAAAAAAATATAAATAAATAAAATTTTTTTGCAAATGAGTATTACCATATACCACTGCATACAATACCCGGGGGGGTATTTTACTAGGAGGAGGGTAGTATTAGTGGCAGGATATATCATTACTATAAAATTCAAAATACATACTAGTCTTACTTATTATTATATTAATATACTCAGGTAGTAATCAATTATCAAGCAACAATTTTCTTGAATACTATCCGGTATTATTAATGGGGAGGTAGTATTTGGGAGGGATATTGTATGCAGTGGTATACGGTAGATGCGCGATTTTTATCAAAATAAATATATAAATATATATTTATATTAAATAAGTTTAATGTTAATTTATATATACAAAAATGTTTATATTATAAAATGTGTTGCAAAACTTTTTGAATTTTTTTATTTATCTATTATTCAAAAATTACTGCATAAATATTAAAATAAAAAATATATTAAAATAAAATTTAAACCTAAGAATTACAATAATATAAATTTTATATAAAATTTTTTTAAAAATTTTGAAATTAAATTTAAAAATTATTTTTATTTTAAATATACAACATTTTTTTAAAAAAATTTCTTTTATAATAATTTCTTCAAAATTAAAAAAACAAAAAACCTTGTTTTTTATTTGGATTATATAAGAAAAGACTTATGACAATTGTTTCTTTATAAATTTTTCTTAAAATTTCTTCTATTTTTATTTCTTATCAATACATATTTCTTATTAAATAATTTAATTTTTTTCTTAAATGGTTTCTTTTTTTTTCAAAAAATTAAATTCTTTATCAAAATTGTTTATACTATTGGTTTGAAATATCAGCAATATATATAATTCTTACCTTTCAATATTACTTAGCATATACTGTTACACTACAAAAATCTTAAATTTTTTATTCAAAAAAATTTCTTATCAAAAACTGTAATCAGTTTACTTCTGTCAACTGACTATTATACTTATTGTGTTATACTATAATAATATTATTTTTCAATATTATAAATTTATTTTTAAAATTATATTTAAATAAAATTGCTAAATCTTTTGCTTATTTTATACTCAATAAAAAATTATATACTATTAATACCTTTGTATTTAAAAAAAAAAATAGATTTATAACTTTTTTTTATAATTTATAACTTTTTTTTTTGTCACTTAATAAATATATTTAAGTAATTTATATTTTGTATTTTTTTTTTAGAAAATTGATTGTTATAAAGTTACTTTCAATTTTGTTTGTTGATATTATATATTTTTCAATACTTTTATAAATCAATAGTAAAATTCTTACACCTTTAGAATTATTTAACTTGATACTTGAAATGTATTTAAGGTTTTTTTAATTTAAAAAAGCAAAATATTGATTTTTCTTTGAAAAGTTTAATTTTACTCAAGTTTAATATATCAATTTTTTTTTTAATAGTTTTATTATTATATTAATTTAATTTGTATTATAAGTGATTTCTTTAATATTATATATACTTATTGTTATATAAAATATTTGGATATTAGAGTTATTATTAAAGAAAGTTAATATATATATTTTTTTGATTTTTTAGAAATAGAGTTTTTTAATTAAATAAAAAAAATTTTATTTATAAAATATTGTCAGTACATTGTTTATTATTAAAAAAAATAAATATATTATTAATATACAATATATTATATAATAGAAATATTTTGATCTTTAGTATTAATTTTGATTTTAACTAGTGTATTTACTTTTAAAAGTAATAATAAAACTTTTTCTTATTGTTATATCTTTCTTATAGCCTATATAATTTACTATTAATTTTTTTTAATATTTTTTAAATTTGTTATCAAATATATCTTCTTTCTTTTAACTGGTATTACAGTATTTTTTGTTTTAATATACATTATTAAAGATTTTAATTTTATTGAATTAACTTGTTTTGAAATTATAATTTTTTCTTTTAAAATAATATTTATTAAATTTTTTTTTTTGTTTCAGTATTTTTTAAGTTTATATGTCTTATATATATATCTTTTCAAATTATATTACTTGTTTGATAATAATTTTTATATTGTTTTTAGTATTCTTTTTTTTTTTTTAATCCCGCAATCAGGTTGGTGTCATTTATTTATTTAATCATAAAAAACCATTACAAGTTGAGAATCCAT